CATGATATGCTAAGGGTTCAGTTAGAATACACCAACGAAACGTCTTACCGTTCTTCTTTCCAAGGTGAAGGCTTTCAGTCACAACACTAGATGTTATTAGTGCGATGATAAGGAGAGTTGAAAAACTCTTGATAACGAACGCTTCCATCTCAAATTTGGAAAAATGGCAAAAACAGAGCAGAGTTGAGGGACACTGGAGACGGCTGTAGGCAGCGGTAACAGACAAACTGTTCGGAAGACAGACTGACTGGGGCAAACTGTTTTACATTGTCTAAAACAATTTGCTCATTCCATTGGCATGAATAGATTGTCCAGTCAAAGAGTATTTAAATGATAAATCTCTTCACAATGTATTATTAAATTCAACCCCTCCGGGCTCAATGCTTCAGAAATTCCAAATTTTCCCTTTTTATGCGAATTCACTATAATCAAGAACGATGAGTTGATGAGTGCGTGTGTATCTGTGAAGGCCTTCAAAAAGTCAAATTTTAGAGCCCTGTGCAATGTTTCAGGCAATTTGTAACCGTGCAAAAGAGTTGAAGGCAATCTAAATCCTAATATTATGGCATGTTAATTAGCGCTAAACAGAGCAGGTTTTACTGTATTGAACTTAACCAATCAAAACAAAGAAACCTTTTAAGATATTCGATTTCAACAAGAAAAGACTCTCAAGAGAGGTTATGCGAAAATCTATTTCCTGATGTTATTTCCTTTTGCAATCGGTTTTCTCATCAACAGAAAGGGAAGCCAACCCAAAATTTAATTTCCAAATCAGATGCCTTAAAGCTTCTGGATAAAGTACGATTTTCCCCTTCAGATCATCACTGCAAACAACTTCTGTTAAGTTGGAAATTAAAGTTCATTTTTAACGATTAACAAAGATCCCAGGAATAGCTGATTAGCTTATGTTAAGTCAAGCGTATGTTAGACTTAACTTGGCTTTGTCTAGCAGGTGTCCGTTTTGCTGTTTCGAATAGTTGAACCGCAGGAAAACACTTTTGTAATTTATTTTGTTTTTCTTTCTGTCGTTGATCTGAACGTTTTAAAGCAGGTTGAAAAAAATAAGCTTACTCAGAATTTCGAGAGAAATTCCTTCTTCCATTCGGTTTTCCTGGTCTGTGTATTTAAAAGAGGGCCAAAGTTTAATCTGCATCCATCTGGTGTTACGCATTCTTTCTTTACCCGTCTTGGTGTGTAGGGAATTTAAACGAATCGATTCCCCCTTAATCGGTTCGTCGATCTTTTTGTTGGATATCAAGAACATCAAAGGAGTCAGTTTAGGACTGCAGATCGAAAATGCACAGAAAATGCACTTTCACGGAAGCTCGCTAAAAATTCCACGTTCCATTGAAATTTAATAGATCAATGGGCTGGGTGACCAAATTGTGTCCTTAATGGCAACGCAAGGCCTGAAATGAGAATAATGCCAACACTGGAACACTATGGTTATTTCGTAATCAACAGAAAATCATCCTACAACGCGATTGGACAATCTATTCATTCAATCAGCGAGATTCTGTGAACGATCTCCTGACATAAATGAACTTCTAAAGAGGTACATTTGTCCCACTTTGTCTTGGCAGTGTGTTAGAGATTTGTCAGTTCACAAATTTCATGTTAGCTCAGTTTTTAACTCGCTGACAACTGAGATGGAAACCTACGTTGGGAAGATTTTGGCCCGTCTGCTTGTTATTGTACTTATCACATCCCACGTTGTTGTGGCTGAAAAACTGTCCGTGGAAAGCAAAATTGGTAAGAGACACACTGTATTTTTTAAATACAGCAATATCTACATATAGACCCTACTGGGTTAAATTATGAATTGGAATAGAAAAAACTCGTCTAACTCTATAAACTAATTTTGCCCGTTTTACCAAATGTCGTTGAAGGTTTTGCAATTTATCGGTCATTTATACTTCTAATTTCGTTCGATTCGCCTTAATAATCATGTTCATTAAGTTAAAAATGGGAAACTGTTACTTACGGCAAGGAGAAAATATTTCAGACAGAAATAGAATTTTAAAAATCAAAACAGTCGAATATAAATTTGTTTTATTGTTATTACTAATATCATTATAATCATTGTTTAATGGCTGGCTCGGATCTAGTCTTTTTTTATTTACCATGAGGATCACTTTACTATTATTGACTTATCACATCTCACCCGAATTTTACTTATCCAAGTCTAAGAAAGATCCAGCACTCCATTTATTAGTTTGTCGCTGTGGTTTTGCCTTTATTTGTCAGACGTTTTGTTCGTTTATTACATAATCTGTCAAACAGACCTTGCAAGGACGAAACAAAATAAGGTGACATCTGACGTGACAAATAGAGCATGGTTTGACAAATTCTTTTTATGCATTCAGATAATGATTCGTCGATTCTATTTACTTCTATTTATGAAATAAACTTGCTAAGTGAAGTTTACCTTTTGAGTTAATTGAAATCTAACATAGTTTATGTGGTCTCATTGTTTTCTTCCATAATAATTAGCAATCGAGTTTTTGTCGTTGTACAATTAATGAGAAAGCTCTTTTACAAGAGAGGCATAGCAGGCACTTCAAAAATCTCCGACTTCAAATCTTCTAATTTTGTTGACTTAATGAAATAAGGATATTATAAAAATCTGCCCACTTCAAATTGTCTATTGACATTTGATAACGGCCAAACTCTTACTGACAACTAAGAGATTATGAACGGCAAAAGTTTTGCCTCACAACTCACAAAGTATATTTCCTTGTAAAATGATTTCTCGTCATTCTGTTCGTGTTTTAAGTGCCTTTTTTTCCAATCAGAATTCCAAACTTCTAAACTTACAAAAGAAAAACGAAAAACACACGTAACAAGTAAGGTTTCAGATCGCGTAAAACAATTTTTGTCACTTCAAAGAAGCGAACTCACCCATTTCAAACCATAACAAGAATGCAATCGTGAGATATTACCGAAAACCGATTCCTGAGGAAGTCGAATAAGTTATCCTGGAAGATGGAGGACTGCAATTTGGGGTCATGTGATCAGGCACACTCTATTGTACAGCTGTTATGGACAAACAAGAGAAACTATTTGCATTTTTTGTCTTTTAACCAGGTTTCGATGATCACAATCTTGGCACTAAGAACAGCACTGAAGAAGACCACAGCCAAAATGTCACAGGGATCCGACGAGTTTTACTTACAACGTTTGTTTTCAATAATCCTGACAGACCGTGCTATACGCAATTCTTCGTACAAGGACAACCACCAGAAGGTTTACGTGGTCCACGTAATGGGTTCACCAGATACATCTGCCAACCGCCGACACCAGATCAAGAGCACACGTACTACGCCACAATGTTTGACGAACATTTCGGAATTGCGGTATTTTCAGCCTACACCTTGTGGAGAGATCCCGGGGAAGGTAAAGGAGACCTTTTCCAAGGAGGAAATCGTCGAGCGTGGACCGCGACCCCAGGTAACTTATTTACATGTACAGAGAAAGAACATTCCCCATATGCACAAGGGTTGATTTTTGAGGTATCACAGTATATTTAACAAATATTCCACGAGCGTGGGTTAAATATTTAGCTCTTATTAACCGAGCAGGAGGTCTGTATGGGAGAATCTTGACCGAGGTCGTGAGTACAGACCGAACGCAGTGAGGTCTGTACACAC